CACCTCACTGTCCCCTCGTCTATCTCACACTCCCTAAGCCTCCCTATGAGAATGTGATGGGAGACAGTGTCAAAAGCCATGCTGAAGCTGAGATAGACAACATCCACTGCTCTCCCCTCATCTACCCAACCAGTCATGCCATCATAGAAGGCTATCAGGTTGGTCAGGCATGACTTCCCCTTGGTGAATCCATGCTGACTACTCCTCACAATCTTCTTTTCCTCCACATGCTTAAAGATGACATCCAGAATGAGGTGTTCCATCACCTTTCCAGGGATGGAGGTGAGGCTGACTGGCCTGTAGTTTCCTGGGTCCTCCTTCTTACCCATTTTGAAGATTGGAGAGACGTTGACTTTCCCCCAGTCCTCAGGCACCTTTCCCATTCACCATGACCTTTCAAAGATGATGGAAAGTGGCTTAGCCACTCTCATGTCTTGTTGGACTAAGCAACTTAAGTCTCACCTCACACATACACCAGTCAAGGGCTTGCACAGTGTTGGCATAAAGTGAAGTAGAAAGCCCTTAAACGCTGGTTGAAAACAGATCTCCCACACCTTCGGAAAAATGCCTTAGGCTCCTGTTTGCAGCAGGGAGACCAACACCAGAGTGGTCTCCAGAGAGACCTTATAACAGCCTTCCAGTACTTAAAGGGGGCCTACAGGAAAGCTGGAGAGGGACTTTTTACAAGAGCATGTAGTGATAGGACAAGGGGTAATGGCTTTGAACTGAAAGAGGGTAGATTTAGACTAGATATAAGGAAGAAATTCTTCATTGTGAGACACTGAAACAGGTTGCCCAGAAAAGCTGTGGCTGCCCCCTCCCTGGCAATGTTCAAGGCCAGGTTGGATGGGGCTTTGAGCAACCTGGTCTAGTGGGAGGTGTCCCTGCCCATGGCGGGGGGGTTGGACTAATTGTTTTTTAAGATCCCTTCCAACCCAAACCATTTATGATCCTATGATATGATTCTAACACTGTGAGTGACAAGCAGAAGTAGGTGCATATGTGCATGAGAAGGAGCAAGTCAGAGAGAGAAATTGGGCTAAAACCACACCTGTCTTCAGCATCCCTCACTGTCCTTACATGTCATGTAGATACCTAGGTCTCTAAGTCTGACTCCTGTATAATGGCTCAGACTTCGACGTTATTTGTCTCAAAGCTCAGCTTCATGGCTCAGAAGCCTCTTTATGGGTCCATTCCTCAGTCCTTTATTGGCAAGGGTAAAGGGAGCTCTGCTGTTTTGGTCATCTTCCCCAAAGTCTCACAGGTTTTTTTTGCAGCTCTGAATCCTAACAAAAATGGAGGTAACTTAAGGCAAAGGTGGAAATGTCTCATTAATTCCTGGTCTTTGGTCAACGAGAAGACCCACAGGGCGAGTATACAACAGTTACAATCAGCAGTTTCCTCACAAGAAGAGGAAACACCAAAATCATAACTAAAAGCTCTGCTTCTAGTTTCAATAATTTACATTCTTTTTATAATATTTTGTCACGTTTTTATGTTTCTCTTGTATTCAGAGTTGAAAAAAATGATATTTAATAAATCAAATGAAGAATTCACGTGCCAGTACAACTGCCTGAAGGGAAAAAGGGGTCATTTCCAGTACTTCACTGTCAATAACTCATTTATGTATCAGCTTCCTGATGCACATTAACACTGCTTGGGCAGCCGAGCTTTCCTGGGGAAATGTTGGCTGGATTAATTGCCAAGACCACTGGCACTAATTGTAAGTACTCATGGCTTCCTGAGGAAGAATGAGCATGTCATTAACTCGGCTGCTGGAAGAGGTGTTCCCATTCCTATCAGTCTCCCGTAGGCTTAGGCATTTTTAAACATATTTTTATTCTCTCCTAAGAGAAAGAAAAGATACTGAATTAAGGCATCAGGGAGATGCCATCTTCCCTGTCATGCTTTGTGGAAAAGGTAGAGAACACCCATCCCTGGGACTAGCAGTGGTGATGGTAAGGCAGAAGGGTTACTCCGTCCACAAATCTGTAGCTGAGTTACAGTATACAGGTATCTTGTCCTTTCTCTGATGCAGACCAGTTGCTCAGAGAATGGTAG